GGCATTCCGTGAGGGGAGCGGTGAGCGGCGGGCCCGGGGGGTCGTTGTTCCTTCTCAGGGTCCCTTAGGAAGTCCTTGGGGAGATGGGGGCCTGGCGGCGGGGGGGGGGGGGGGGGGCGGGGCTGCCCCCTCAGGCCCCTCCCCAGCTCTCGGGACCCCCCCCCCTCCATCGCCAGCCGGTCAGCGTGCGTGGGAGGCCCAGGCCGCTCCCCGCTGCGGAGCCCACGAACTTCCCCCCACAACCTTACATTCTGTGGGGGCAACCAGCCCCACAGCTTCCCTTGTGCAACTACCCCGCCCCCCCCAATACCTTCCCTCCCGCTTCCTCAGGCCTCACACAGAAGGTGCGACACTCCTTCCCCCTCCCCGACTAGGCCCAGACACAAGCCAGGCCCGGATCCCCCTCAGGGGAGAGGCCACATCGGGTAGGCCCGCCTCCCCCCTGAGGCGGGCCTACCCCCCTTACCCGTATAATACCAGTGTTCCCGGGTAGGCCCGAAGCGCCCCCCTCGGCCTTCCCCACATACAGGCCCCACACCAGACAAAACCGCAAGCAAACACCCCCCACCCACCCCTTTCGCTCACCATGCTGAGGTACACGTAGGAGGCGTAGAGCTCCAGGTTGATCTGCCGGTTGATGGCGGCTTCGCAGTCCTGGTGGTAGTTCTGACGAACCTGGGAAGGAGGCGCTGCCATGGCTCTGCCTTACGGGTTGAGTTCGACGGCTACGGTGAAGGATGTGTTGGATTATTTGGTGGCGGTGGAGGCGGCGGGCCCGAGCGCGGCCGGTTCCGTCCAAGCACTGTTGACGCAGGAACCCGCTTCGCTCTCGCCTCGCCGATGCGCTCTGAGGGGCGCTCGCTCCGCGCCGCCCTTTTTATACTGCCGCAGCGTCACCGCGCGCGCCCTGGCTCCGCCCGCCTCCTTTCCCCGCGCTGAGGGGCGGGGCCTCTCGCCGCGCTTCTGCTGGCCCAGCGTGACTCAGCACCTCCCCCGGCGGCGCGTGCCTCAGCACGCCCCCCCGCGGTGGGCGGGGCCCCCGCGCGCGCGCGCGCTGCCTCAGAGCCGTGGAGGCCTCCCCTCAGCGGGCTCAGCTTTGGCCACTGCCGCAAAAGTGCCCCTAAAAATACAAGAAACGGTTAAATAAAGGTAAAAATCCTTGGTTAGCCCCATAAGCCAGCCAAAGCCGAGCGGAGAAACGCAGCAGAACGGTGCCCGTAGCTCTTCAAAGGTCTTAAGAAGCACCTGCAGCCATGACCTGTGGTGCTGCTGGTGGCCTGGGGGAGGAAGCGCGCTGGAGGTTTGCACCAGTCATGAGTAAAGGCACCATGCACAAGAAGGATGGTGAGAAGCTTAACATTTCCAGCCATATGACCTTGTGGCCAACAAGGCCAATGGTTTCCTGGGGTCCATTAAGGAGAGCGTGGCTAGCAGATCAGGGGAGGTCACCCTCCCTCTCTACTGTGCCCTGGTCAGGCCACATCTGGAGTACTGTGTCCAGTTCTGGGCTCCCCAGTTCAAGAAAGACAGGGAACTGCTGGAGAGAGGGCTACAAAGATGATCGGGGGGGAGTGGAGCATCTCCCTGATGAGGAAAGGCTGAGAGACCTGGGGCTGTGCAGCCTGGAGAAGAGAAAATGGGGGATCTCATCAATGCTGATCAATGTCTACAGGGTGGGTGTCCAGAGGATGGGGCCAGACTCCTTTCAGTGGTGCCCAGTGACAGGACAAGAAGGAACAGGCACAAGCTGGAACACAGGAAATTCCATCTCAACATGATGAAAAACTACTTTACTTTGAGGGTGGCAGAGCCCTGGAACAGGCTGCCCAGAGATGGTGTGGAGTTTCCTTCTCTGGAAATACTCAAATCCTGCCTGGATGAGTTCCTGTCCAGCCTGCTCTGGGTGACCCTGCTTTGGCAGGGGTAGACTAGATGGTCTCCAGAGGTCCTTTCTGTCCTTAGCCATTCTGTGAGTTCTTGCTCTCTTGATTTGCTTGACGGTAAACTTTATGATAGTAGCCTTTAGTCGGTTCAAACATAACACCAAATAATAAATAAGTGAGAAATCAAAGGTCAAATGGAAAAAACTGAGCTTTCTGATAATGAAGTGATTATTTCAGCTGCTTTTAGTACTACCATAAGCATTCTGTTTGTGTGGTCATTTATTTTCAACAAACATTGGATTCTTTTACTTTCTGGTTTCTGAAATTCTAAGCAGATTATATGTGCAGCCTTGAGGGCTGGAAACGTCCTCCTTAAACTGAGAAAATCCTGTAACATCGGTTCCCAAAATCTTGATTTCTAAGCCAATGCTAATGTTGAAATTTACCAGAAATATTACAAGTTACTGAGCCTCTAAACTCAGATTAAATGAATTTTCCTCTAACCAGTCCTTTCTACAAAGTTTTATTCACTCTTTGACCCTTCCTGGTAACGCGTGATTTCCTGTGCGTGACTGTCAGTCTGTACAGGGCAGCACAAGGCCTGTATCAGCAAAATAAGCACTTTTTGAGGCGCTCTGAACGCCTGGCTTCCTTTGTTTTACTGTTTTCTGTGGCTCCCCGACGGTTAACCATCAGAAGTAATTAAGATCTATAAGTTAACGTGGGTCATACCTATCGCTTCAGCAGGCTGCCAGGTACATTTGAAATCTCATGTTCCCCTCCCACACAAATGCTTATGTAAAAAAAAAAAAAAAAAAAAGTCATAACTGCTGGGCGGATTTGCATTACTGTTTTCTTACTGTAGTATTTTCTTTCACCAGCTTGCAGGAACCTCAGACAAACCTTGTGTTAGGCTGAAAAGGCTTAGGATTTTCCTCCTGAAGCACAGAGGTATGTATAACTTGACCCTCTGTATTAGCAGCACGTTGCAGAGTATGTATCAGTGTTCCCCAGAGATTAACCTTAAACCTACAAAACACTAAACCGTTTCTTATCTGTTATGTTTTCGTGCTTTCTTTCCACCTAACCTTTTTGCTTGGAACTACGAGAAGAAAGTTGCCCAGCAGCTTATAGATTGCAAGCTATTGCTATTTATATTTTCAAATTCTCATTACATTGTTTAACTGTGCAACAGTAGAAGTTTGCAAGCGATTGAGCAAAAAGTCCATTAATAACAGGAATATTTCCTCTCTAGTTCGGACAGTTTGTGCCACCCACGATTAAATGTCCCAAAGATTAGGGAAGTCCTACAGGCTGCTTTCTGGATCAAATGTAAGTTGCACAATGCACATTGTCTCTGATGACAGCAGATTCACGTGGCCACATGCTGCGTTGTACAGCCATGCGTCACAATATCTTGGTGACCAACATGAGGAGTGTTTTGCACTCTGGTCTTACAAGAGTTTAGGTTTAGCTACACCCATACTTTTTCTGTTGACTGTGCAACTGACTTTCAACCTACCATCCCATTATGGTTAAATTTTTACTTTTTTTACTGTTTTTAATTTCATACTGTTTTCCTATGGCTTGGGTTAAGCCTTGTTTTATCTTCTGCCTTTCTTCCTGAAGAATGCATTTACAAGCATTCTTGGGAAGAAGCCTGCTAAAAGCATTACCATACTGAGGCTGGATTTCCCATCAAATGACATTCACATTCAGTAATTTTAAGCTCATTTTTTGCACCTGACAATGCTTTACACACCATTTCCTATCATACTATTTTCAGTAGCTAATAGTTGCATGCCTGAGAATTATTCATTAAAATTTTTCCATTAGAGGGGGAAGCCTGGCCTCTCTCATTCAAATCCAATAGATAAAAGCTGTTGGTGTATTTGGGAAAAACGGACTGATAATCCAAATTACTTCTTTCACTACACTTTTACACACCAACATCTGCCCAGGGATGATCCACCCTCTCAGCAGAGCACATGCCAAGTGTTACTTTGAATTCATGTCAGTTCTCAGCTGCTTGTGGTCTGACGTGGAGGCAGCCTTCATGCTGCCCGGAGGCAAAAATCAACGTATTGTCTGCCTACACCAGCTTCAAATTGTTGAAGACAATCTCTTGTTTTCCCTTGGACAAGATCCCATCAGAAACAATGGCCCGAGCTCTCTTGTTGTTTACAGCTCAGCTTTTCTACACCAAGCACAAAGTCCAACATCAGCCAGTTTAGGGACAGCAATGCTCAGCTTCCTCGTATGACAGCTGGAGAGGACAATTTAAGTATGAAAAATTAATCAGAGCTTCTCTGATGAACTTTTCCACATATATACAGAAGATGAGTAAGTCAGAGGGGATCTAGATGAAGAAAAATCTACCAAGACTCTGTGCACTCCTTGGTATCGTGGCACACACTGTGTGTGCATGTAAGCACATGCATCTGTCCGTCTGTCCAAGGAAAATGGAGTCCCAGCCTGGGCCAATGGTAATTAGTTGTTCGTTTGGGAGCCTGGAGGGGGGAAAGTTTCCATGACTCTTATACCCACTTTAATATCAGTCATACTGCCTGACCTGTGCCCTTCTTGTGCCTCACCTTTCCAAATGATGGCCATGATCTTACAGTGGGCAGAAAACATGACTTTTCAACAGATACTGGACAATATTTGCACAAAGTAAATTCTGGGCTTGTAAAAACAGAAGCCAGACTTTTTTAAATTTTTTTTTCCGATACGGTCCCTGAGCAAAAACTGAGCATGTGACTCAGGCATCCTGCTAAACCTTCAACAGGGGGGCTCCCTTGGTGTGAGCACAAAGCTCACTGTAATTGGAGAAGCCAGAATATTCAGGAATACACAACGTTTCATTTATCATCTGTGGAAATGGTTCCCCCTTAGCTTTAAAATACTTCCTTTTTGCCGTGCTGGTTAGAATAATAACAAATCTGAGTTAAAAAGCAACAATTTTTCCAATCCAGTAAAAGAGAGAGCAAGAGCGCTGAACATAAATACAGTAACCTCTTTTTTTTTTTTTCAAAGCTCAAAGTCCTGTAAATAAGATAAACTGTGCATCCAGTCAAATATTTATTATGGAGAATTTCCATTCCACCCTTCAGCGTAATTCAGCTCACAGACTTTATGTAAACACAAAAGCAACCCTAAACTTGGCTCCAAGGTTGATCATGTGTCTGGAAATTTGACACTGTCCTCAACGGGGAGTTTTTTTGAAAGCCATTTACTAAAAGCATCTGGGCTCCACTTGTTCCCTAAGATATCCTAAAAATGGAATCCTGATTAACTGCAAACTTCCTCTGGCTCCTTCGGGTAAAAACATTGTGCAAATTTTTCAGTCGTTTCCTTCAGGTCCCCAAATTTCTACATGTGGGAAACCCAGGTTTTAAGGCAACGGGTTTTCTCTGGGTGCTTACGGCACGGAATGCAAATGGCTGGGTTACTCAGAACTGCTAGTTCCTGGAAAAACACTCCTCGGACAGAAAGACAAAGCATATTTCAAGTTACTCTAGAAATTTTGCTTCAGAGACAACCAAACACTACACCATTCTGCTACAGGAAAGAAAAGTCCCGAAGGCAAAATAATCTGTAACAGTCTGTACTACAGGATTTTGTAGACTGCTGTTTTAGACAAACAAACATTTTCTAAGTTGTGTTACGGGGTTTTTTCTCTCTCTGGAACATTTTTGCACACAGGCAGTCTGAACAAACCGCCCCAGGGGATTACAATTCCCTTAATTTTTTTTCAGAATACCCTTTTAATTAGATTTTTCTTCTTTGGCATGCCTCTAAAAATATGCTTGGAGGCCAGAGAGTGAGGAAGAGCACTGTTAATAATACAGTAATTCTGTCTGCCCAGCATGCCCAGAAGCAGAATTTGGTGAATTTACTGGCATGTAGCAGCCCCATTTAAGCTAATTTCAAGCCTGGCTCCAGTATCTGTGACTGAAAAGCTCCAGCTCTGATCCCAGTGACAGGCAGGGCACTGGGTGGACATACTGTAGCTTTCAGAAGCCATATTTGCCATGTTGCAAAAGCCCAAATTAATTGAATGTTGACATTCCACCCCAGGCCACAACCACAGCATTCGCTATACTGTCACCATCCTCTTGGAGGGTAATCCCGCTTTTTTTCCCCCTCTTGCATTTAAAACCAAGGGGTGGAGGGTGGCTATCATTCTCAGTCCCTATTTCTGTTGTTCTTAACTTTTTTCCTCCAATACTGACAAGCTGGGGAAAAAACACCGCACTTACAAACAGAACCACCCAGCTAAAGTCAACAAGTACAGCGAACTTTCTCGATACAGCAAAAAATCACCTCCTTCCTGTTAGGAGTTCCCCTGCCAGACACTGGTGAAGTATCGAAGCCTTCATGAACGATCAGGCAGCTTTCGTTCCGAGTAGGATACACAGGAGAAATGTCCTTTTTTTTTTTTTTTTAAAGAGAAGGTTTCATTTAGGAATCTGTGAAAGAGATAAAAGTTTAAAAGGATGTCTCTGTATCTCTCTATATCCCCTCTGTCCCTCAGGCTGGCAGCCGAGGCCATCGGCTTATTTTGTGAGGATGCAGAACAGGCACCCAGGCTGGGGTTGGCAGGTGAACAGCCCTACACCCGGCCCCACGTGTGACACAGGGACCTCGAGTGTCACAGCGTGCCGGAGGGTTATCGAGCAGAAATAAGTGGTGGCAATTCACCTGGTCAGCAAGAGACAAAGGCTGAGGGTGGAATAAGGCAGCAAGACAGAGCTTCCCCATAAACCAGGCTGTCCATTTGCCAATCTGTGCTCATATTTGTAATTATTGCTCATCCCTCAAAATAACCTTTTGACAGTTTGTGCAGCATCGAGTTTGAACAGACATCCCATAGCATCGTGCCTGTGAGAGTAGGTGGTGTTGGCTTTTATATTTAGCCAGGCAGGCAAATTCTTTCAAGCACGATGAGAAGAAACAAGCTTTTACAGGGAACTGGCGGTTAAAACACCAGCTTAAAGAACGTGCATCAGCCCGATAAAGCACCAGCTCCACCATAAAAACAAGCAGTGGCCCATGTCATGATCACTCTTGGGCAGGACATGCTGAAGGGGGGGGCACCTCCCAACTGCTGTTATCGAGCAGGTCTCTCCAGGAACTTATTTCATGGCTTACTTAGAGGAAGTGATGAGATTAGATCGTCTTAGTGGCTTAGAAGGACCAGAGGGATTTTATCTATAGAGGTGAAGCATAGGTTGGTGAGGGCAAGTAGAAAGCAGAGGGCATTTTTGGAGAGTCTGTGGGGAAAGCTGGTTCCTGTAAAGGGACACTGAAAACACCCGAGTGGTTTTTGCAGCTGAGATGCAGCTGCAACTCCGCAGGCACCGCACGTGCACCCCCCTGCACACCTTTCCTGCTGGGTGTTATTTCCTCCTGAGCCACGTCCAGCCCCTCGCCATCAGGGCTGTAATACTTAAAATCAGTTCAAGGGACTCAAGTTGGATCTGCTTCTATGTGTGCTACCCGTGGAGAAGCCAGCTCGTGTTGAAATGCGGAGTATTTGTCCCCTCAAAGTCACCTCTGGATGAGCTGGGCATAGCTCCTGCCACAAAGCAGCAGCAGCTGGAGAGCTGCTTTCCTGGAGCTTCTGCCTTTCTGGGCAAAAGCAGAGCCAAGACCTTAGAACCTGGTTCTCCCTTTTCAAACTTATTCCACCACAGTATTTGTGGTGGAAAAAAAAATAAAAAAAAAAATAATCAATGGAACTGGACAGAGAGAGAAATAAAATGGGGAAAATACATAAGCAGGCTCTACTGGGGGAAGACCTGACCTTGATATTAAAGCATAGGGTAGTTGAGCACCATATATATTGACCAGTCGTCGACTTCAACTCAGCAGATGTTGGCCCGTGCCCACAGATAGCAGCATTTCAGCCACCAGCAGAACAGTCAGAGGACAGGCCACCCGCTCCCTGCAGTCGGCTAGATAACACCCAAGGGCAGCTACAGGAGCTGCTACAGAAGGGAGTGCACAAACTCCCCAGCAATCACATCTGGCTGTTCTGGGCTGCAGCAGAAACTGTGTTGGCAGATTCTGCCCAACAGACTGGGAAGAATCCTTAAACCCAGGGAGACCACTGGAGTCTCAAACCCTGGGCATCAGCTAATGTTGGGTTTGGAACATGCTGGAAAGATATTCCCACTAAAAGCTGTTATTACAAGTCTCGTGTGGTAGCAAATGACAGCAGCCTACAGAGCTCTCAGACTTTTCTAGGACAGCAGCCAGCTCCGTTTCAGGTTTAAGAGAGTAGGAAGAATGCTCTGCCCGGTCTAAGGAATCAGTCCCTCCCCTCAGTTGCTCTAGGTGATGAGTAGACCTGCTCAGTCATGCGTGGCCACACTGCCCAAAACCTGCCTAAATAGGCAGCCATGACCAAGACTGAAACCAGCAAATCAGGAACTTTCCGGTCCAACAATTAAAAAGAAAACAACCAGATTTCCACTCTACACTGATTTAGCGCAGGCCGGAGCCCGTGTCTTTTGTTTGATGCTCTTGGTTGTTTCTAAAAGCCATTGTGAAGGGACACAACCCGCAGGACAGCGGTAGGGTAGGAGTAAAGCTACACCACGGAGCTGAAAGATCCCCAGAGCTTGAGGCTGTCAAAAAACAGGGACAGTGCAGTCCTTACCTACACTCAAACACACACCCCACACACACACCTTATTGCCTCTTTTCCCTGTCTCCAGCCACCCTGCTCACCCCACCACTAGCTTCAGCATTCCTCGGGGGCTCCACAGGCCAGTTCAGCTCATGAACCTAGAAAAAAGTGGAAGAGGAAAAAATCAACCATTTTTGGCCACTTTCTAGGGTTGGCTTGGCCAGTGGAGGGATCTAAGAATCTCCAAAGTCGAGTGCAGCGTGGAGTTGCTCGATGAGTTGAAGCATTCAGGTTATGCTGAGGTGGGTGAGGTGTGCTGGCCAAGCTCTGGAGCAGAAGTTGGGGGGGGGAGGAAGTGAATTGCTTCAAATGCCATAGCCAGATCCTTGAGAGCGAGTATAGACCCTTCCTGAAAGCAGAGGGTGCTTCCTCACCCCTGCCATGGACAAGCTGTTTGTTCCCAAAACTGCATGGGCTGTAAATCCTGTGCCTAATTTGTTCCATGTAACTTCCTGTTTAGACGAGCCATCTGAATTTCTGCTGCCTGTCATGATCCCACCAGAACTCCTCCGCAAAGGAACTTAAAGTTCTCAGAGTGTGTGTGTGTGCGCGTGCACAAGCCAAGATGGAAAAAAAAAACCAAAAAACAACAACAAAAGGGGAAGCAACAGCAGCCTTTCTCACAGGGGTCAGGCGGTGCAGGGCTCCGAGGTGGCAGGGTTAGGACCTTCGGTGCTGCAGGGCAGGTGGAGATGGAACACACCGAGGAGATGGCTCACAGATTCAGAGAGTCCCTCCTCAGAGAGGGACTCGTGCTGAAACGGCAAAAGCATTAACACCCAGAATGTGGCCAAGATGCCAAGGACACTAAGAAGCAGTGAAAAATGTTAAATCAGGCCCAAAGGGGAAGTGGCCGGTAATGAGTTCGCTTCCAAGGAGTCAGGAGGTGCAGGTTGAGCAACAGGCTGACATCAGCTAAAATAACAGGACGGTGGAGGGAGCGGCTCCCATGCTAAACCATGCGGATGTTACTTAGGTCACCATGTAAAACACAGTTTCTGACTGGGGAGAGAAAAATAAGCCAGAATTGCAGCATTGTTACTTAATCCAAGAAACTTTGTCATTACGTGTCAGCAGCATGAACTGGCTCAGCATGACCATGCAAAAAAGCTACCAGCCTTTTACTGGAAATTGTAAGTGACTGCATCTTTAGCCACAGCGAGGCTTAACTAGCAGTGAAAAGCACCTGATAAAAGCAATTCCTACTTCTTTCCCTGCTCCCATAGCTTCACTGTAGCAGAGATTCCCTGGAGAAGACGCTGTGTCAAGTCCAGGTCCTTGCCCAGTGAGGAATAGGCAGCCCAGCCCTGGCTCACTCCTTATCCCGAGTGCCTCCCTTCCAGAAGCAAGGGTCAAACAGATTTATCATCAGACCTCGTGAGCTCCTGCTCTTATCACGCTCCTCTTTGATCAGTCAGGTCAGATCTGCAGAGAAGGGAAAGGCCCCGTTAAAAAAAAAACAACTTTTGATCAAAGGTACCCCGTGAGCCAGAACTGCCCGTGTATTCTTTGCCAGGAATTATGACTGGCCCAAACAGCAAACAAGGGATATTTGCTGATCCTGCTCTTGAGCCACAGAGTAGCATTAGGGCAGCACATGAGTACCTGCACAAGATCTCCACCATTTCTCTAGCTTCTTTAATTTGCCCAGAAGCTCACTTGTTAAGAAAAGCCTGTGCTTACTCTCTGCTTTCTTCACCTTTTTATATACTTTGGATTCACTAGGGTCTCCCCCCCACTCCCTGTATATGCGAACATTTCAAGAGGAACATGGTGGACCATGGTTGTCAGCCTAGTAAAGGAAAGACAAACATCCATTTCCAGTGTTTTCCACTGAAAACGCTTCTCCTTTGCATCATCAGCTGCCTGCAAGGCCCTGTGTCATCACAAATTTCCTGGGATGGGAAGGGTTCAGTACCTTCTTGCTCTGTTCTAGAGGCCAGAAAAGCAGGTGGATCCAGAAGTGGCTCAGAACAGGAGAAAGGAGAACTTCCTCAACCTGAACTGGCCCATAGTCACATCACAGCAACACAACAGCACAGAGCCCTGCAGTAACAGAGCTGACAAGCCAGGAACACAGCTGGAAACTGAGGAGGGAAGGGGTCTGAGAATCTGTTTCTGCAGCCACATCCAGCCTAAGAGGCACCAGAGACTGAGTAAGGGGAAGAGAAAGTGACACCATCGTTAATTTAGATCAACTGGAAACTTTATTTTCTGGTACTAAGTCTTTGAGAAGTGCCTTCTTCCAGGCAGTTCTACCCCTTTCCCCGTATCACCCCCAGCCATAACCAGATAGACCTCTTTTTGTCCCCATCAGTTTCTGCTTTCCTCTTAAGTGTGACTATCAGGATTGAGCAACAGCACCCATAGAAAGCAGCCAGGCCCTAAGGGCTAGGAATTGGGAAGCAGATAAAATCTCTTCTTGACCAGCACGAGACCTTTAGAGACCTTTTTTCATCCTCCTTCTTGAGAAGGAGATAGCATTTCGTTTTACAGCAACGTGTTGTCGTCTGACGTCTGCAGTAACCAACTAAGAAAGACACCATTCATTTGCCGAGAGAAAATGTTAAAAAGCATCCTTTTTCACCTGTGAAAATTAGGACATCATCCCTGCCTTACACCACAAGTCAGGGGATATGTGAAAGGTTACAGCCCTCGGCTTCCATCTCAGAGCTCAGCTGTCTTGTGAACAATGCGGCCCTTTAAAAACCTTTCTAGGAAGATTTCAGAAACTTGGTCAACATTTCCATCGTGCCTACAGCACCAGGATTACAGTCAACAGTTAGCATGCTGAGAAGTTGGTCAGGACTCCCACTATCCCTCCTCCTCCCATTTCACAGAATCACAGAATCACAGAATCTTCTAGGTTGGAAGGGACCTTAAAGATCATCTTGTCCAACCATCAACCTAACTGACAAAAATAGACACCCACACAACAAACAAGAAGCGTCACCATCACTAAACCATATCTCCCAGCACCACATCAACCTGTCTTTTGAACACCTCCAGGGATGGTGCCTCCACCACCTCCCTGGGCAGCCCATTCCCATGTCTGAGAACCCTTTCAGTGAAAAATTTTTTCCTAATATCCAGCCTGAACCTCCCCTGGCGTAACTTGAGGCCATTTCCTCTCGTCCTGTCACCTGTGACTTGAGAGAAGAGACCGACCCCCACCTCTCTACACCCTCCTTTCAGGGAGTTGGAGAGAGCAAGAAGGTCTCCCCTCAGCCTCCTCTTCTCCAGACTGAACACCCCCAGCTCCCTCAGCCTCTCCTCATAAGACTTGTGCTCCAGACCCCTCATCATCTTTGTCGCCCTTCTGTGGACCCGCTCCAGCATCTCAATGTCTTTTTTATGGTAGGGGGCCCAAAACTGGACACAGCACTCAAGGTGAGGCCTCACCAGTGCCCAGTACAGGGGGACAATCACCTCTCGGGCCCTACTCGCCACGCTGTTCCTGACACAGGCCAGGATGCTGTTGGCTTTCTTGGCCACCTGGGCACACTGCTGGCTCATGTTCAGCCGACTGTCGACCAACACCCCTTCCCCCCAAAACAGAGATTTAACACGATTTTGGGGGAGGGAGGACAAGAGAAAGCTGCCAACTGCCAGCGGTGCCTTCCAGCGTCGTTATCGTTTGCACTGCTGACACACCTGCCTAATCCTGTCATCGTAAAGCAAGAAAGCTCATTTCTCCTATAAGTACTTTCCACTTGGTTGGTCTTCATATACATTAGCTCTGCTTCCTCAAGCTGTAGGACCGTGTCAGAACTCATCCGAGTCTCCTTCCCCTCAGCAGAGCCGATCCCAAGTGACAGTTCCGCCTCGTCCGACTGCCGAAGGCTGGATGTAACATCGGGGCATCTCCCTCCTCTCAAGCCCACGCCAGCCTGTCACCCAGAGCTCCTCCAGCTCGATGTGACCTTCTGCTTGCCATCACAGCAAGCAAGTGTGCCCCACCAGCCAGCGGGGCTACCACAAGCCACCAAGCACTGGGGTGGCCATGTACATATGGTCCCTTCGCAGCGGGTGACCCCCATGAGCCGATGGGTACCCCTTTTGATTCCTCACACACACACACTTATCTCAGGCACACTCACGCCTTCTTCAGGCTCAGCCCTTGGCTTCCTGCAGCAGAGTCGCAGCCCTCAGATTTTATGAAGTAATTAATTTAATTAAATGGTACAGCAGTAGGGTTGGGTGCGTCTGAAAAGGGAAGGACCTCAAGCGAAGAAATCCCTGGGGAATTATACCCCTGTGATCCCCTCAGGCCCCGTTCACACCTCTTTTAGTTCAGTGGTCACTTTTGGTCTGGGGTCTTACCTTGACTGTGTCTTACCTTATCTTGTGGATTTGCAGGCTCTGCTGAGGGTTGGACCCTCCTTATCTTCTGCTTTATGCTTCTTGTGCGCCTGCAACTCACTGGCGGACTCACAGAATGGTTTGGGTTGGAAGAGACCGTAAAGATCACCCACTTACAGAGTCACATGGGGTTGGAAGGGACCTCTGGAGATCATCTCCTCCAACCCCCTGCCAGAGCAGATCCACCCAGAGCAGAACCCACAGGAACATGTTCAGGTGGGTTTTGAATGTCTCCAGAGAAGGAGGCCCCACCACGTCTCTGGGCAGCCTCTGCCAGGGCTCTGCCACCCTCAAAGTCAAGAAGTTCCTCCTCAAGTTTAGGTGGAACATCTTATACTCAAGTTTGTGTCCATCTCCTGTTGTCCTATCCTTGAAAAAAGACTGGCTCCATCCTCTCGATGCCCACCCTTTCTTATTTCTAAGCATTCCACCCCCTGCCCTGGGCAGGGACACCTCCCACCACACCAGGTTGCTCCAAGCCCCCTCCAACCTGGCCTTGAACCCCTCAGGGGATGGAGCATCTACATGGGGCACTGGAAAGTCCCAGACTTAGGGAAAACACTACCAAAACATCACTGTGTTATCAACGGTTTGGGTTTTTTTGATATACCAAAAGACTAAACACAGCCCTGTGCCAGCTGGGAGGAAAATTATTAAGAAAATTAACTCCATTAGGGCCTAAAGGCTTCGGCAAATCCAGCTACTCCTGCCCCGAAGCTGGGCCAACAGCACAAATCACAGCACGTTATAACCCTGGGTAATTTATTCTAATTAAAACTTACATGCTTAAGCCAGACAAACTAATCTCTCTCAACGGGAACCCGAAACCAGCCCCCGCCCCCTCACCCGGGAGGAGCCGGGTGAGCGGGAACCACCACAGCACCAGGCCTCATCCCGACCCCCGGCACCACCGGGCCCCGTTACCGGCCCAGCCCCCGGGTCTGGCCCAGCCTGGCCTCCCTCCAGGCAGCAGCGGGGTAGCTCGAAGCAGGCCCGGAGCCCGGCACGGTGCTCACACGTCGGGCGGCCGGGGTCTCCGGTGCAGGCCCGGTGTGGCCCGCGGGGGGGTCCCGGGCCTGCGCGGAACCGCCAGCGGGGGGC